CAAAAGGTGCGAAGCACCGCTTCGCCTATATTTGTTTTGTCTTTTTATAAAAATCTTGGTATATAGAGTTAATGCTAACTGTAAGTGGAAAAATACCTCGATTATAAAACCAGCAGAAGTGATTTTGCGGATAAGAAAGAATGCTAGCAATATAGTGCAGAACATAAAAGCGCTTCAAATTTCGTTTTTTTTTTGTAAATTTTCGGAAATCTGGGGATTTCTTTACTTGATTTGACGACAGTCAAAGTAGAAGCGGACAAGTCGATAAAGCTCCACTTAGCTTCTCTGCCGATTATTTTTTAAAACTCGAGAAAGGGAAGCAGTCAATTGAGGAGCTAGGCTTCTGTTCGCTATCAATATATGTATATGGCATATTACCCCTGAGATGAAATTAATTGGCCGTCTTTGATTTTTTAATTCATCTACCAGCCTAAAAGATCTAGATCAATCAGCCAGCTTGTGCTATGTCACTTAGTTAATTTAGTTGTATTGAGGTTGTAACATCATTTTGATATAACTTTAGCCTTTAAAAGAACGAGAGAAAGGAAGGGCTTCCAGCTGCAGTTTATTGTGACCATGCAAGCTTAAAAGCCGTAAATAAGTATAAACTAACTGCTTATACCTCTGGACAATTTTTTTGTTTAACCTCGGGACAATTTTATATGGTTAAAATGAAATGAGTGTCAAATCAAATTTTTTTTGAATTTTAATATGCAGAGGTTACGTAGCTCTGCATCGCCGAGAAAAACTCTGCTGTAGTTATATCGGGTCAAAGTGGGTTTGGTAAATCGAGTATTCTTTATCATCTCAAACATCATAAAACGATGAAAAGATACTACCCTGGCTATTGGGTCTTCTATTTTGAGAAGGTTGTCCTGCCTAATGGCAAAAATTTGCTTGTTTTTGACACCGGAGCGTGTAACCGACGTCAAATAATTGTATTCTGCCAAAAATTAGAAGGACTGGTTTTTGTAGTTGACGGATCGAATCCCGATTCTTTTCGAGCTGCTACCAGTTATTTGTAGAATTTGTGCAATAGTGATGAATCGAATATGCCGTTGTTAGTACTTGTAACGAAGAAAGACCTTCCTTCCTAGGTGGGCTTGGGTGTTGTAAGAGAAGCCTTAGAACTACATTGTATAACTAATAGACTCTGGCATATCCACGCTTGCTTTTGAAGAACGCTTGCTTACCGGAGAAGATTTGATGCCAGCTTTTGAAGAATTAACTCGAATGATGAAGTATTTTGTGAAAAACTGAAATCTGTGCAAATGGATTTCAACGCTAATAGATTTAGAACAAAAAAATTTATTGATCTTTTAATGTTTTATTATTATATAGCAACTGTACCCGGCTGTTGAGCAAGTAGTTCGAAGTTTTTTTGGAAATTACAATTTTTCATATTTGTTACCATGTTCACGTGTAGTAGTTGTGGGTTGAAATTGAGCTCCAAATAGATTTTAAAAATAGCTAAACTATTGTATACTGTATGTGAGCGAGGGAGTAAATATCAGTCGGAAAATCAATTGAAATTGGTCTGGAAAGCAAAAATATTGGGAATTTTTCTCGACATTGAGTGAAATTTTTACAATAAAAATAATAATTGTTTTTAAGCCAGAAACAAAAACATAAATGCTATGAAATTGTACCTCTAATAAAAAGCATCAGCTTGTCAGGTGGCATCTTGATGACCACATTCTATTCGCCTACTTCTTCAAAATTAGATCATATCTCCTTTTTAAAATTAGATCAAAATTAGACAGTACTCAAAAAGGACCGCAAAAAATCTTCAAAAATCAAAAAGAATAGACACTGAGATACAACGCAAAATTCAACATTCAAAATAAGATAAAAAACGCAATTCATACCACAATTGAGACATCTCACAAGCTTTCTCAGGATGTCATAATTGACTGGGAAAACATCTTAGACCATTAATCCTCTTTTTTTGAATGGTCGGAACAATCAGATATTTGTAGTATCGATACTGTCTTTACTGAGATATAAATAAAGCGATTCTTTTTGACTAGGTTGTCTGTAGATAGGTTATCTTTTTAAATAGGAGATTCTTGGTTATCTGCAGATTTGAATTTTGCAAATGTGATGGTATTCGATGTTCTGCCTACTTGAGCTATTTCAAAACAATAATCAAATTTAGTGCAATTTTTTGTTAGTATTGTTTTTTTATTGATTGATTACGTTTTTTGGCGTAAAATATCTCCTGCCTTTTTTCAACTATATCAAGAGTGCCATCTTCGTAAATTTAGCAAGTTTTTGTTCGATAAGACTTTTCTGTAGATTTTTGGTTTTTGTCTGATAAGTATTTCCATTTTTGGGACTAAAAATTGGCTATTGTTTTCCGCTAGTGTTTACTTATTTAATTCTCGTTTTTGTTTCCGCCTGATTTTATTCGACTTTGTGGCTTTTTTGTTAACAAGCATTTTTGTCTTCGCCTAATTTTTTTATTCAGTTCAAATGTCTTTTTTTAGTTTTAGCTCTTGCCTATACACCGAATGATTGATTTTTTTTGAAAAATGCAATCAATGTTTTCAGCTTCCTTGTTCATTTGAAGAACATTAGACCAGTGCAATGCGTTAATTTGGCTCAGGGCAGTTCCACGGAAACGAGCCATCATAAGGTCATTTATTGTTTTAGTTTTTGCTTACACACGGAAAGAATCAATGTTTTCAGCTTCCTTACTTTCCCATTGAATTTCAATTATAAATATAAGCTCACTTTTAGGTGTTTTCTTAGGCTAAATATGTTTCCAAGATAGTTTTTTTAATTAGAAGTTATATATTTGCCGCATGACCCATATTATGGAAGGTATGCTTCTGAAATTCCAATTGACATGCTGGTGTAGAGGTGCCGTGTGTGACTTAGGCTCAGGGCACGTCCAAGAAACGCGCAGGTATAAAAGAAATTTTTTGGTTTTAGATTTTGTTTACACACCGAGTGAATTTGGCAGAAAAATGCAGTTAATATTTTCAGCTTCCTTATTTCCGTTTTTTTTTCGATTAAAAATAACATATTTGTCACATTCTGTATTGCAGTGTGTGATTCAAGTCAGGGTTTTTGAGCGTAATGGTTAGACATAAAGGCAATTGCTTTGGTCTTAGCTTGTTATACTGACACAGTGGATTGGACGCAGAAACAAAAATGCAATCAATTTTTTTTAGCTTCCTTATTTCCGTTTGAATTTATCAGCTTACTTATAGACAATTTTTTTGGAGCCTCTTTGATGGGGGTTACAAATATATTCGGTGAAGATTCAAACTATATACGCTATTACGTTTTTATCTTCTTTGATTTTTTCAACGTTTACCATTACTCAAACCTTTCACGTTGTTTTTGTTCCCAAAACGAAGTGTGAAGTAACTTTATTTTCGGTTGTTTTAAGTGTTGTTTTTTCACTCAAAGTTAGTTACAATGAAATTGAAAATGGCTCTACTGATATCTCATATAAAAGCCCTAGTAGTTCAGAGGTACATAAAATAATGCAAGTATCTTGCCAAAAGTTTCTGGGAAAAACTGATTTTGATGTTATTGCTTCTTATACGAGTTTAGTAATGATTCGCTCTTCTTATCGATTCATTTTAAGTCAAAGTTGTGTAAAATCGTTTATTCTTTAAAAAAGTTTTTGGTAGGTAGTCTTAAGCTATTTTTTACTCCCTCACCCCACAAACAAAAAACTACTAACATCAGAAAAAAATCTGTAAAAAATATATAATTTTTGCTAAATTAATGTCTAAGTAAAACCATTATAGTTTCTAGTTTGTTTCTCAAATGTTTTTTTTAAAATTATGTTGGGCGGAATCTCAATTGATTGTTCTCGCTAATATTATTCTCGAATTTTTTTGGCTTAACTAGTTTTTTTATATTCAAGGTGATATTGTAGTTGCTTTTTTTCTGTGGTGGACATAACTTCTTTTTGTTCTAGCTGATAGTAAATTTTTTGCGTTGTAATTTTTCTCTCATAATTTTTTGTTCAACTCAATGTTTGCCAAATTTTTCTAATTTGTTTTTCGGTATCGTTATTCAAATAAGATTTTCCGGTGACAAATCCTACCCCTCAAAAATTTGATTCGTTTTTTATTAAAACGTAAACAGTTTCTGTTTTGGGTCAACGCACTGGTTCCTTCGGCGTTGATCCACACTAAATATGAAGGAAAGCGCCCATCTTGGCCGTCTAAAAGTCGACGTGTATTCATAATTGATTGCTTCCGCCACTGGCAGTGGGGAGGAACTTAGTATTTGAAGTGTCTCAACAGTTTTTTCTACGCAAATACAGCCTGCGCAACTTATTTTCGGAATGGCTCGCATGATATATCATATTAAAGTCTTCTCAGTTGTGATTTAATTCACTAAATTTCAAGTTTTTTTTTGGTTTCGTTTTATGAATATGGTCGGAACATTCTGTGCTACTTGCACAGCGACCGGCTATCCTTGTTTGAATTTGCCGTTTTCCAAGAATTTAATTTTAGTTAATGATTTTTCAAGTATTTATGTTAAATTTTCTGCGAATGAGGCAAAGCAATTTTGCTATCAAATATATTTTCTGCTCTTTTTCCTTTCCCTCTATTTATGAGTTTTTACCAATAAAATGCGTTTAAATTGTCCGATTAGTATGGAAATTGTCATTCGGACTAATTAGGCCGCAACAAATATAATATAATTCATAAATAACTTTATTAAACCACTCGTTAAACCATAAAATTGATGATCATGCGAGGTGGGGAAAACGAAAACGAGCCTCATTTTTATGTTGAAGTTTCAGGGAACATATTTTATCAATTTTTTTCTGAACTATGATTAGATGCTCTGTTTTTAATTTGCTGGCCGGGGACTTGATTCTGTATCTTTTTGAGCTGTTAACGCTTGTGTGCGTTACCGCCAGAATTTGCCCACCTTAGTGTTTTCTACTAGATTCTTAGAGTAATCTTGTGTTACTTTTGTTTTATATTCGCCTCATTTAAATTTTTTTTTTCAGTGATGCAACCATGGATGTAGTTGCGAGTAACACCGAAAATGGAACCACCGCAGAAAAAGCGCACAGTGACTCAGAGAACACCGGAAGCCATGACTTCTTAAATGTCGGCTTTTCAAATGGTGAATCCCAAACGAGCGATAAAAACGCCGTTGCTGCATCACCTTTCAAACAGAGCAAAATCGCTGGAACCAGTGAAAAACATGATAACGAGCTTGCTTTGAGTCACGATTCTCAGCCAGCTAATTCATTAAACATGTCTGGTGATGCAAATAAACAGCAGGAATCTGCAATTGAAAATGATTACGTTTCTACTGCCATTGATACCACCGAGACTTCTGAATTAACAAGTGAAGGCAAAGTTTTTAGTGACTTGGAAAAAACTCAGACATTTGATAGTTGCGCTCACGCTGATCAAAGTACTTTTAACTACAACCCTGATCCTCAATGTCAATTACTGCATATTAAAAATCAGGCTACAGAAAGTCCAGTAGAGGCGTCCCTTATAACATTTTCACGAAACACGGGTGGCTCCAGCAATTTGGAAGCGAAACAGACTCAAATGGAAAAAATGTCGACACAGATTAATTATCCTGAGAACCCGCCTGTCTCGGAAGGCACTAAAACAGACAGACTGTTTTCTGCGATAAAAGACTCTTCCAAATTTTATAATAAAAATGAAAGTACCCCTTACTGGTGCTTCAAGTTCGAAATTGGTGTCGAGGCTCTAAACCACGGTCTGAGTACTCCCGTATACTGCGGTGTTTTAGTTCTCACGAAGAAAGATAAAATTACAAACGGTAAATTCTTTCCTGGAACCAAAGTTTCCCACGATAACGTTAACTCCAAATTGCAGATGGAAGTAGTTGTTCCTAAAAAGGAAATCTCTGCGAACAGAAAGTTCTCTTACTCATATGCTATATCCGAGAGTAAAGATTGTAATGTGTTTAAAAACAACCCGGAATTATTGGCGAGACAGCAGAAATCCAGTGAAGTTACGGTGAGTGATTTAAAAAAGAATGAGAAAGTAATTGACGACAGAAATAAAGATATAAGCTTTAAACGATGTGACTCGAAATCTGCAGCGAAAACATCAGTGAAAGTTACCAGACGCACGTTGCAAGAACTAGCGGAAACAAAAGATATCTCAAAAGATGTGGAAGATAACGACCAAGATGAATCTGAAACGAGTGATGCTGATGATCAAAATAACTTCAATCGAAACAAGTCAGTGGAAAATAGATTCTCTTTGCAGGACATACTTTGCAATTCGAAAAGAGACAGTTTGCACGATGATAGTGCTCACAAATTCACAGAAATAAACGTGATAGTTGGATCGGATCTATGTTCGTTTGGGCAGAAAAAACTACTAGTCGGTGTCCGAACTTCTTTAGACAATTTCAAGAAAACGACCCCCGGTCATATTGTCGGATCAATCGAGGACTACGTTTGGATTCGTGTTTTAATTGAAACTGGAAGCCATTGGAAGTTTGACTATAAGTATGTTGCCGAAAATCCGAAAACGAAAAAATTCGAATGGGAACAAATGCACCAGGATGGTGAAATTAATAGGCGCATAAGTCAACTTAACGGCAAGAAAATTATCAAGTACGACGGACTGGTCTCGTTTTTTGCCCAATCTGATCTTAAGAAATCGGAAGGTTGGTTTTCTAAAGTTGTCGGATTCTTTAAGGAAAGCACTGATAAGCGAAAGACTTATTATGGATCACAAAACTCTGTAGGCTTGGGAATCTATTTGAGATATCTTTTCCAGCAGCTTCTTAGCAATGAAATTGACGTTGATGCTTTTAGAAAAACCAGTTTGTTTGTCTTGAAAACGTTGTCACAAATAAACGCTGGTACTTCCAATTATATGAGCACGCTCGAGTTGATGTCTGTCGATGAAATAATTCTAACAGTTTTCAAACTTTTCCTACTTATTTTTGACACTTACCAAATTAGCGGCGAATTTACAGAATCACATGAATGTCAAATGGCCATAGTGGCTCTCTTCACTCTAATTGAAGCATATGATCTCTCTATTTCGGCTCTTGATTCTGTTTCTGAAGACGTCTACGAAAAGTTTCTTCGGTCGGCTTTGTTTCTTACTGATGCTTCCGAACATGCTCTTGCCGATCACGTCTCACAAGCTTCTTCGTTGAATTCTGCAATCAAAAATGTCTGTTCTAAATTGCTGAGTGTCAAAGCGATTCAGAAAAACAAACTGTACCCAGTTTTAATCGAATGGCTCACAATGAACGAAAAAGCCATTTTCATTAATTTAAACTATGCGCTGAAGGTCAATACAGAGGTTGTTGAAAGTCTTCGTAGTTACTACACATCGAAAAGTACTAGAAGACAGCTGTTGCTGGTGTATTTCAGACAAAACTGGACGAGTTGCGAGCTAATCAAAAATCTTAACTTACCAGTCGATGAAATAGTGAATTGTTATTACTACCGTCTCTCTCGTGACTCCAATAACGGAACACAATTGAAACAAAACAAATTTATCTGTCTGATGAAGAGTCTTCTAATAACAACTAGCGAGGAATTGGAGATACAGTCAGAAACAGCGATTGACTTTTTGGAAAACTGTGGAAGATTGCTGATGCTCACAGCCCGAGAACCAATGTACAGTCCCCAAGTCAAGTGGTGCAACACTGTTATAGCAATCATTTTAGACTTCATGGAATTATTTGAGAGTCGTGGTATTGCGTTCGCAGAGCTCGAGGGAAAGTTCTCCATTTCAGATTTTGCAAAAAAATTGGGCAATTACTTGAATAAAGCCAACTTACAGCTGATTTGTGTGACACAAAATGAGATAGTTGAATGGGGATACCTTCTGCGCACGCGAAAAAGTTTCTCAAACTACACGCGAGAAACTGTGGAAGCGATCATTAAAAAAATCATTCTGGGAATTATCGACCGAAAACTGATGGGGGGAGATCTTCACCGTTTTTATTTAACCCTTTCGGATATGCTTAATGTTATTGAAAAAGACCAAAAGGACTTCGATAGAAGTGGAGTTGAGGGACTATTCGAGGAAGCAATTATAAATAGTCTCAAACATTTTATGGATTTCAACAGCAGAAGTGATTACCAAATAGATTTGAATGACATTGCGAAATGGTCACCGGCACTCGAAATTGCTTTCGTGAAAATTGCATCGGAAAAATTACCTGTCATAAACACTTCACTAAGCGCGCACGAAGTTATGTTCAAAATGCTGGACTGGAAACCGTTTATTCCATTACTTCATCTGGCCCGTCAAAGTCCAAAGACGGAAGCGTATTTTCAGGAGCCCTTCTGGATAGTTCGTGAAAGCTTCAATCATGTATTCGAGGAACTTGAATGTGGAAACGTATCTTTCACATTTTACAGCAAATTATTCGACCTGAGTACAGTGTTTAAAAACATTTGTATGATGATGCTACCAGCGAAAGCTGAAGACATAGAACGCAAAATGCAGAAATGCAATTCCCTTTGCAAATCCATTCAATCAAGCTTCGAAAAAATCGTAAAGCTGAAAGAACTAATTAACAAATTAAGGACACAAAATATCGAAATCGACATGAAGGAACTAGAAAGATCTACGGAAGACTGGCAAAATAAACCCCTGAAAAAGTTTGCAGAAATCGACCGTAGAGGAAATGTTACTCTTACTGTTCCATCTCTACTTGACTCCGAGTTAACTTCGCTCGAAACATTCACGAAGTATATGAAAAGCCGCATTTTTTCAAAAATGACTTTCAAAGAGGTACAGCGGTCTTGCCTGGATGAAAACCATTTATGCACGTACAAACAATTGCTAAATGAACTTTTAGCAGCTGTTCGGTCAAAATATTTGCGCATTGCTGATTCTTTAGCAAGTGGCGACATCATAGCGGAAACAGCCCAACGGCGATTCAAACAGTATCGTGAAAATGAGAAAAAAGAAGAAATTCACTTCATGTTTGAGTTTTTGACAGAAAGCGTGAATGATGAAAAGAATAAAGACGAGCTAAAGGCAGTGAAAGATATTCGAATGGTTCAAGTTTTGAAGCTGGATACTTTGCGAAAAAATAAAGACTTCGTGCAGGCTCTTTTGGACTTGAAGGAAGTGCTGGGAATTGAAAATCACTTCGCAGTTCTGGATACTCTCTCAAAATTGGTTGGGGTTTGATCGCTAGTCATTTAGTATTTAACTCATTCATAACCAGTGGGTAGATTAAATCTCAAATTGAACCTTGTTCTAAAAAAGTACTCATCAATTATAAATTGCTTAAACCTTAATTAAAATTGTTTAAAAAACCACCAGGCCAAAATTTCATGCAGAATCACTTGAAAATAAATTTAGGACAATCTGCAGGAAGTGCTGCTGAAACAGTTAGACGACACAATTCTGAAATGCAACAAAGACTTCGAAGACATAAAGCCGGCTGAAATTGATTCAATCAAAGCATTCGTGGAGCAGACCGCTTTCCTGGGTTGGATCCGCGATAAAATGCACAGTGAGTAAATTTCGACAAAACAGTTATTTCCTATAACAACAAGTTTTGCAGAAATGATTAAAGTTTGAACGAATTCATGGGGCCTATTCTAATGGGCGAAGGACCGAAAGGGCGAAGGACTGAAAACAAAAAAAGCCGAAAGTCATTTATTAAAATGGATCAATTGCCGTTTTATTACAAGGAAGTAAATGAAGCAATATTTAGCTTCTTTTAAAACGAAATCCTAGAAATATAACATTTGTTCCAACTGGCTGGCGGTCAGTGATAGTTTTGCTTATTTCTGGCGTGTTAATATTCAGTCAATATTAATATTAAGTACTTGGAAATGCTAAGTTTCATGGAGATTTTCACGCTTTCTTGCCAAATTTTTGAATACTGAAATCTGATTGGCTGATTTTCTTTTTCGCCCATTCGGTCCTTCGCCTATGAGGGATTCCACCCGAATTCTTCACTGCTTTTTTTTACAACTGTCTAGTTTTTTTAAGTTTAAAGCAAAATAGTTCAAAAGAAGTAATTTGAAAAGAAGTATAAGAAGAGTTAAAGCAAATTGTTTTTGTTCTGACCACAAAGTGGAAAGTAACTTGCAATTCAGTTGAGTTTTTCCACAAAATTTTAAACAACCACAAGTTTGTTACGAAGATGGAAGCAATGACATGATAGATACGTATCAGTCGTTCTTCGGGCTGCTTTAAAAAGTTCTAATAGTTTTCTTTTTTCTTGACAGGTTTTTGATGTTTTCGTTCTCGAACTAGTAATGAGCGATCGAGTTTTTCACTGGCTAATACTATTAATTAACGAGAAAGATGTCCAATTAATAAAAAGAGATATCCATTTTTATCAAGAGTAATGAGCGTAGTGAGTACTTTTATATAGGTCTTGCTGATTTATGTTTTGTTTTTCTTTTCAGGAAAAAGTTTTAAATTTTGTTCACGCTCAATTTTGATTTTTCGCGGTTTGACTTGTGATTTATTTACGTTCAGTGCATTTCTATTGTTAAGAGGAAAGCAAACTCTACTATCGAACAGCAAAATTGTAAAGGGTGCAAAAAAGTGATCTACTTTAATTTCGAAAATGGAAATTGATTATCAGGTTTCCCAGTGAAATAAAAGTTTTACCTATTGATCCAGTTTTCTGAAATTGGGTTAATTTCATCAAAAAAGTGTTCATCATAAATTTTTCTACAAGTTCAAAGAGCTTTAAGGCCATATATTTTTTTCTTCGAAATTCAAAAACTGGAGATTTTTGAAAAACCAGTCGTTTTTTTTTTCAGTTTCTTGCGTTCATTACTTTTTTCCAACTGTCAGTTGGCTGTGTTTGAGGACTCAAGGTTTTTGTTCTTAATCAAGATGAACCCCGCTGCTTCTCAGTCTAAAGTTCATTTATGATAATTTAGTATCTGTGAACACAAACAAAAATGCATAGAAAGGGCCAACGAACTCTTTCGAAACTTGACTCCGAAGTTACAAAGGTGCCTTCAGTTCGATTTTTGGGTAGTATTGATTTTTTTTTGGTGCAGAATGTTTACTGAAATTGTTTCATCAAGATCAAAATTCAAAGAGATTATCAAAGGCGATACATTTTTTCTTGGAATTTTTAAACTAAAAATCAGTCTTTGTTTTCGTTATTGTCTGTTGGCGTAGCAGAGCGTTCTCAGCTTCTCCTTTTAATTTTTATAGTGATCAGTAATTGCTAAGATTGTATTGGCTCAACTTTCTAACAAAGAAGTCTGTTATCAACATAATTGCCCCGTATCATACGCCTCCGGCAGATCTAATTGTGACAGGGCGTGTATGGGGGGGGGGGGGGGGGGGGGTGATAAAAATGAGCCAAGATTGGTCAGAAGCTAAACTGTTTCTTGAGTTGTAAAAAGTCACGTTTCCTTGTTTTTTAGCGGGCTAAAAAGTTCTAAGCATGTTTTGCGTTCCGTTCCTTGTTATCTGTTAAGAATGATTGACACTTTGCTCAATTGCAAATTTGTATTTTCTAAAGGCCAACATCCTGTAGATGAGAAACTTGGTTTCAGTTTCTCGTTTTTTTGTCATGGTCATAAAATCTTAAGAGTAATGAACGTAATGGATACTTTTATAAAGTCTTTGTTGATTTTTGTTTGTTTTTTTTTCTGTAAAAAGTCCTAAATTTTGTTCACGCTCAGTTTTGATTTTTCGCGATTTGACTTGTGATTTCTTTTTATGTTCAGTGCATTTCCATTGTTAAAAGGAAGGCAAACTCCACTATCGAACAGCAAAAGTGTAAAGGTCACGAAAACGTGATCGATTCCTGATGTCGAAAATCGAATTTAATTATCAGATTTCCCAGCGAAGTAAAAGTTCTACATATTGATCCAGTTGTCTCAAATTAGGTTAATTTTTTATAAGAAAGTGTCCATCATAAGTTGCTCTACTAAATCCAAGAGCCATTAAAGCCTATTTTTTTTCTTCGAAATTCAAAAGTTGAAGGCGCTTGAAAAAACAAGTAAGATTTTTTTCAGTTTTCTTGCGTTCATTACTCTTTTCCAACTGTTAGTTGGGCGTTTATTTTTGAAGTTGAAAAATGCGATCAAGGCCAAATCAACAAAAGTTACAGAAAAGACTAATACGAATTTTGTTGATCAACTGTCCAACATGGTTCATTTTTTAAATGTGTTTGAAAATGTTGATTTTTTTTTTCAAATAGTTTAGATACAAGTCTTCTAACAAAGGAGTCTTGTATCAAAATAATTCATACGCCTCCGGCAGATCTAATTGTGACAGGGCGTGTATGGGTGAGGGGGATGAAAATGAGCAAAGATTGGTCAGAAGCTAAAGTTTTTCTTGAGTTGTAAAAAGTCATGTTTCCTTGTTTTTTAGCGGGCTGAAAAGTTCTAAGCATGTTTTGCATTCCTTGTTATCTGTTAAGAATGATTGACACTTTGCAAATGAGTATTTTCTAAAAGCCAACATCCTGAAGATGTGGAACTTGGTTTTAGTTTCTCATTTCTTCTTTATGGTCATAAAATCTTAAGAGTAATGAACGTAGTGGGTACTCTTATATAGGTTTTGTTGATTTTTGTTTTTTTTTTTCAGGAAAAAGTTCTAAAACTTGTTCACGCTCAGTTTTGATTTTTCGATGTTTGACTTGTGATTTTTTTTTGTTCAGTGCGTTTTCATTGTTGGAAGGAAGGAAGGCAAACTCCACTATCGAACAGCAAAAGTGTAAAGATCAGAAAACGTGACCGGCTTCTGATTTCGAAAATGGAAATTAATAATCAGATTTCAAAGCGAAATAAAAAATTTACATATTGATCCAATTTTCCCAAATTGGGTTAATTTTATTTAAAATGTGCCCATCATGAAGTGTTCAACAAAATCTAAGAGCTTTAAAGCCATTGAAGTATATTTTTTTCGTCGAATTTCAAAAGTTGAAAACTCCTGAAAAAACAAGTCAGTTTTTTTTTCAGTTTTCTTGCCTTCATTACACTTTTCCAACTGTTACTTGGCTATGTTTATTTTTGAAGCTGAAAAATGCAATCAAGACTAAAACGAATTTTGTTGATCAACGATACAACATGGTTGATTTTTTAAATTTGTTTTGAAATGTTGATTTATTTTTTTCAAGTAGTGTAGATACAAGTCTTCTAACAACGGAGTCTTGTATTAACATAATTGCCCCGTACCATACGCCTCCGGCAGATCTAATTGTGACAGGTCGTGTATGGCGGATTAAAATGAGCAAGGATTGGTCAAAAGCTGCTAAACTGTTTCTTGAGTTGTAAAAGTCACGTTTCCTTGTTTTTTAGAGGGCTGAAAAGTTCTAAGCATGTTTTGCGTTCCGTTCCTTGTTATCTGTTAAGAATGATTGACACTTTGCTCATTTGCAAGTGTGTATTTACTTAAGGCCAACATCCTGAAGATTTCAGTTTCTCGTTTTTTTGGTCATGGTCATAAAATCTTAAGAGTAATGAACGTAATGGATACTTTTATAAAGTCTTTGTTGATTTTTGTTTGTTTTTTTTTCTGGAAAAAGTCCTAAATTTTGTTTACGCTGTTTAGATTTTTCGCGGTTGACTTGTGTTTTTTTTATGTTCAGTGCATTTCCATTGTTTGAAGGAAGGCAAACTCCACTATCGAACAGCAAAAGAGTAAAAGGTCAGGAAAATAAGATCGACTTCTGATTTCGAAAATGGAAATTAATCATCAGATTTCCCAGCGAAATAAAATGTTTACATATTGATCCAGTTTTCTCAAAGTTGGGTAATTTTATTTAAAAGTTCCCATCATAAAGTTTTCTACAAAATCCAAGAGCTTCAAAGCCATTAAAGTCTAATTTTTTTCGAAATTCAAAACTGAAGGCTTTTCAAAAAACAAGTCAATTTTTTTTTCAGATTCCTTGCGTTCATAACTCTTTTACAACTGTTCGTAGGCTAAGTTTTTATTTTTGATGCTGAAAAATGCAATCAAGTTTCAATCAACAAAAGTTACATAAAAGACTAATACAAATTTTACTGATTAACGATACAAAGTTGTTGTTTTTTCAACTGTGTTTTAAAAAGTTGATTTATTTTTTTTTCAAATAGTGTAGATACAAGTCTTCTAACAAAGGAGTCTTGTATCAACATAATTTATACGCCTCCGGCAGATCTAATTGTGACAGGGCGTGTATGGGGGATAAACATGAGCAAAGATTGGTCAGAAGCGAAACTTTTTCTTGTGTTGTACAAAGTCAAGTTTCCTTGTTTTTTAGCGGGCTGAAAAGTTTAAGCATGTTTTGCATTACTTGTTATCTGTTAAGAATGATTGACACTTTGCACAATTGCAAATGTGTATTTTCTAAAGGCCAACATCCTGTAGATGTGAAACTTGGTTTTAGTTTCTCATTTCTTTATCATGCTCATAAAATCTTGAGAGTAATGAACATATTGGATACTTTTAAAAAGTTTTTGTTGATTTTTGTTAGTTTTTTTTTTCTGGAAAACGTCTCGAATTTTGTTCACGCTCAGTTTAGATTTTTCGCGGTTTGACTAGTGATTTTTTTTTATGTTCAGTGCATTTCCATTGTTAAAAGCAGGGCAAACTCCACAATCGAACAGCAAAAATATTAAGGTCACGAAAACGTTATCGACTTCTGGTTTCGAAAATGGAAATTAATTATCAGATTTCCTAGCGAAATGAAGGTTTTACATATTGATTCAGTTTTCTTAAATTGGGTTAGTTTTAATAAAAATTGCCCATCATGAAGTGTTCTACAAAATCCACGAGCTTTAAAGCCATTAAAGTCTCTGTTATTCTTCGAAAATCAAAAGTTGAAGGCTCTTGAAAAAACAAGTCAGTTTTTTTTCAGTTTTTTTGCGATTATTAATCTTTTCCAACTGTTAGTTGGCTATGTTTTTTTTTGAAGCTGAAAAATGCAATCAAGATTAAATCAACAAAAGTTACATAAAAGTCTAATATGAATTTTGTCTATCAGCTATAGAACATGGTTAATTTGTTACATGGGTTTTTAAATGTTAATTTTTTTTCAAGTAGTGAAGATATAAGTCTTCTAACAGATGAGTCTTGTATCAACATAATTGCCCGTGTATGGAGGGATAAAAGTGAGCAAAGATTGGTCAGAAGCTGCTAAAATTTTTCTTGAGTTTTAATAAATCGCGTTTCCTTGTTTTTTAGCGGGCTGAACAGTTCTAAGTATGTTTAGCATTACTTGTTATCTGTTAAGAATGATTGAAACTTTGCTCAATTGCAAATGTGTATTTTCTAAAGGCCAACATCCTGTAGATGTGAAACTTGGTTTTAGTTTCTCGTTTCTTCATCATACCCATAAAATCTTAAGAGTAATGAACGTAATGGATACTTTTATAAAGTTTTTGTTGGCTTTTGTTTTTTTTTCTGGAAAAAGTCTTAAATTTTGTTCACGCTCAGTTTAGATTTTTCGCGGTTTGACTTGTGATTTCTTCTTATGTTCAGTGCATTTCCATTGTTAAAAGCAGAGCAAATTCCACAATCGAACAGCAAAAATAATAAGGTCACGAAAACGTGATCGACTTCTGGTTTCGAAAATGGAAATTAATTATCAGATTTCCTAGCGGAATGAAAATTTTACATATTGATTCAGTTTTCTAAATTTGGGTTAATTCTAATAAAAAATGCGCATCATGAAGTATTCTACTGAATCCAAGAGCTTTAAAGCTATTAAAGTCTCTGTTATTCTTCGAAATTCAAAAGTTGAAGGGTCTTGAAAAAACAAGTCAGTTTTTTTTCAGTTTTCTTGCGTTCATTAATCTTTTCCAACTGTTAGTTGGCTATGTTTTTTTAAGCTGAAAAATGCAATCATGACTAAATCAACAAAAAATACATAAAAGACTAATATGAATATTGTTTATCAGCGATACAATATGGTTCATTTTTTACATGTGTTTTAAAATGATGATTTTTTTTCAAGTAGTTTAGATACAAGTCTTCTAACAAAGCGAAATGGTCACTGGCACTCGATTTTGCTTTCGTGAAAATTGCATCGTAAAAATTACCTGTCATAAACACTTCACTAAGCGCGCACGAAGTTATGTTCAAAATGTTGGACTGGAAACCGTTTATTCCATTACTTCATCTGGTCCGTCAAAGTCCAAAGACGGAAGCGTGCTTTCAGGAGCCCTTCCGGATAGTTCGTGGAAGCTTCAATCATGTATTCGAGGAACTGGAATGTGGAAACGTATCTTTCACATTTTACAGCAAATTAGTTGGCCTGAGTACAGTGTTTAAAAACATTTGTATGATGATGCTACAAGCGAAAGCTGAAGACATAGAAAGCAAAATGCAGAAATGAAATTCCCTTTGCAAATCCATTCAATCAAGTTTCGAAAAAATCGTGAAGCTGAAAGAACTAATTAACAAATTAAGGACACAAAATATCGAAATCGACATGAAGGAACTAGAAAGATCCACGGAAGACTGGCAAAATATACCCCTGAAAAAGTTTGCAGAAATCGACCGTAGAGGAAATGTTACTCTTGCTGTTCCATCTCTACTTGACTCCGAGCTAACTTCGCTCGAAACATTCACGAGTTATATGAAAAGCCGCATTTTTTCAAAAATGACTTTCAAAGAGGTACAGCGGTCTTGCCTGGCTGAAAACCATTTATGCACGTACAAACAATTGCTCAATGAACTTTTAGCAGCTGTTCGGTCAAAATATTTGCGCGTTGCTGGTTCTTTAGCAAGTGGCGACATCATAGCGGAAACAGCCCAACGGCGATTCAAACAGTATCGTGAAAATGAGAAAAAAGAAGAAATTCACTTCATGTTTGAGTTTTTGACAGAAAGCATGAATGATGAAAAGAATAAAGACGAGCTAAAGGCAGTGAAAGATATTCGAATGGTTCAAGTTTTGAAGCTGGATACTTTGCGAAATAACAAAGACTTCGTGCAGGCTCTTTTGGACTTGAAGGAAGTGCTGGGAATTGAAAATCACTTCGCAGTTCTGGATACTCTCTCAAAATTGGTTGGGGTTTCATCGCTAGTCATTTAGTATTTAACTCATTCATAACCAGTGGATAGATTAAATCTCAAATTGAACCTTGTTCAAAAAAAGTACTCATCAATTATGAATTGCTTAAACCTTAATTAAAATTGTTTAAAAACCACCAGGTCCAAATTTCATGCAGAATCACTTGAAAATAAATTTAGGACAATCTGCAGGAAGTGCTGCTGAAACAGTTAGACGACACAATTCTGAAATGCAACAAAGACTTCGAAGACATAAAGCCGGCTGAAATTGATTCAATCAAAGCATTCGTGGAGCAGACCGCTTTCCTGGGTTGGATCCGCGATAAAATGCACAGTGAGTAAATTTCGACAAAACAGTTATTTCCTATAACAACAAGTTTTGCAGAAATGATTAAAGTTTGAACGAATTCATGGGGCCTATTCTAATGGGCGAAGGACCGAAAGGGCGAAGGACTGAAAACAAAAAAAGCCGAAAGTCATTTATTAAAATGGATCAATTGCCGTTTTATTACAAGGAAGTAAATGAAGCAATATTTAGCTTCTTTTAAAACGAAACCCTAGAAATATAACATTTGTTCAAACTGGCTGGCGGTCAGTGATAGTTTTGCTTATTTCTGGCGTGTTTATATTCAGTCAATATTAATATTAGGTACTTGGAAATGTTAAGTTTCATGGAGGTTTTCACGCTTTCTTGCCAAATTTTTGATTTCTGAAATCTGATTGGCTGATTTTCTTTTTCGCCCATTCGGTCCTTCGCCTATGAGGGACTCCACTCAAATTCATCACTGCTTTTTTTTACAACTGTCTAGTTTTTTTAGTGTAAAGCAAAATAGTTCAAAAGAAGTAATTTGAAAAGAAGTATAAGAAGAGTTAAAGCAAATTGTTTTTGTTCTGACCACAAAGTGGAAAGTAACTTGCAATTCAGTTGAGTTTTTCCACAAAAATTTAAACAACCAGAATTTTGTTATTAAGATGGAAGCGATGACATGATAGATACGTATCAGTCGTTCTTCGGGCTGCATTAAAAAGTTCTAATAGTTTTCTTTTTTCTTGATAGGTTTTGATGTTTTCGTTCTCGAACTAGTAATGAGCGATCGAATTTTTTACTAGCTAATACTAATAATAAACGAGAAAAATGTCCAATTAATAAAAAGAGATATCCATTTTTATCAAGAGTAATGAATGTAGTGAGTACTTTTATATAGGTCTTGCTGATTTATGTTTTGTTTTTCTTTTCAGGAAGAAGTTTTAAATTTTGTTCACGCTCAATTTTGATTTTTCGCGGTTTGACATGTGATTTATTTACGTTCAGTGCATTTCTATTGTTAAGAGGAAAGCAAACTCTACTATCGAACAGCAAAATTGTAAAGGGTGCAAAAAAGTGATCTACTTTAATTTCGAAAATGGAAATTGATTATCAGGTTTCCCAGTGAAATAAAAGTTTTACCTATTGATCCAGTTTTCTGAAATTGGGTTAATTTCATCAAAAAAGTGTTCATCTTGAATTTTTCTACAAGTTCAAAGAGCTTTAAGGCCATATATTTTTTTCTTCGAAATTCAAAAACTGGAGATTTTTGAAAAACCAGTCGTTTTTTTTTCAGTTTCCTTGCGTTCATTACTTTTTTCCAACTGTCAGTTGGCTGTGTTTGAGGACTCAAGGTTTTTGTTCTTAATCAAGATGAACCCCGCTGCTTCTCAGTCTAAAGTTACTTTATGATAACTTAGTGTCTGTGAACACAAACAAAAATGCATGGAAAGGGCCAACGAACTCTTTCGAAACTTGACTCCGAAGTTACAAAGGTGCCTTCAGTTCGATTTTTGGGTAGTATTGATTTTTTTTGGTGCAAAATGTTTCCTGAAATTGTTTCATCAAGATCAAAATTCAAAGAGATTATCAAAGGCGATACATTTTCTCTTGGAATTTTTAAACTAAAAATCAGTCTTTGTTTTCGTTATTGTCTGTTGGCGTAGCAGAGCGTTCTCAGCTTCTCCTTTTAATTTTTATAATAATCAACTATTGCTAAGTATCTATAACGAAGAAGTCTTGTATCAACATAATTGCCCCGTACCATACGCCTCCGGCAGATCTAATTTTGACAGGGCGTGTATGGGTGAGGGGGATGAAAATGAGCAAAGATTGGTCAGAAGCTAAAGTTTTTCTTGAGTTGTAAAAAGTCATGTTTCCTTGTTTTTTAGCGGGCTGAAAAGTTCTAAGCATGTTTTGCATTCCTTGTTATCTGTTAAGAATGATTGACACTTTGCTCAATTGCAAGTTTGTATTTTCTAAAGGCCCACATCCTGTAGATGTGAAACTTGGTTTCAGTTTCTCGCTTCTTTATCATGGTCAGAAAACCTTGAGAGTAATGAACGTAGTGGGTACTCTTATATAGGTCTTGTTGATTTTTTTTGTTTTTTTTTTCAGGAAAAAGTCTTAATTTGTTCACGCTCAGTTTTGATTTTTCGCGATTTGACTTGTGATTTCTTTTTATGTTCAGTGCATTTCCATTGTTAAAAGGAAGGCAAACTCCACTATCGAACAGCAAAAGTGTAAAGGTCACGAAAACGTGATCGATTCCTGATGTCGAAAATCGAATTTAATTATCAGATTTCCCAGCGAAGTAAAAGTTTTACATATTGATCCAGTTGTCTCAAATTAGGTTAATTTTTTATGAGAAAGTGTCCATCATAAATTGCTCTACTACATCCAAGAGCCATTAAAGCCTATTTTTTTCTTCGAAATTTAAAAGTTGAAGGCGCTTGAAAATACAAGTAAGTTTTTTTTCAGTTTTCTTGCGTTCATTACTCTTTTCCAACTGTTAGTTGGTTGTTTATTTTTGAAGCTGAAAAATGCGATCAAGGCCAAATCAACAAAAGTTACAGAAAAGACTAATACGAATTTTGTTGATCAACAGTCCAACATGGTTCATTTTTTAAATGTGTTTGAAAATGTTGATTTATTTCTTTTTTTCAAATAGTTTAGATACAAGTCTTCTAACAAAGGAGTCTTGTATCAAAATAATTCATACGCCGTCGGCAGATCTAATTGTGACAGTGCGTGTATGGGGGAGTAGGATGAAAATGAGCAAAGATTGGTCAGAAGCTAAAGTTTTTCTTGAGTTGTAAAAAGTCATGTTTCCCTGTTTTTTAGCGGGCTGAAAAGTTCTAAGCATGTTTTGCAATACTTGTTATATGTTAAGAATGATTGACACTTTGCTCAATTGCAAGTGTGTATTTACTTAAGGCCAACATCCTGAAGACGTGAAACTTGGTTTCAGTTTCTCGTTTTTTTGTCATGGTCATAAAATCTTAAGAGTAATGAACGTAATGGATACTTTTATAAAGTCTTTGTTGATTTTTGTTTTTTTTTTTCTGTAAAAAGTCCTAAATTTTGTTCACGCTGCTCAGATTTTTCGCGGTTGACTTGTGTTTTTTTTATGTTCAGTGCATTTCCATTGTTAAAAGGAAGGCAAACTCCACTATCGAACAGCAAAAGTGTAAAGGTCACGAAAACGTGATCGATTCCTGATGTCGAAAATCGAATTTAATTATCAGATTTCCCAGCGAAGTAAAAGTTTTACATATTGATCCAGTTGTCTCAAATTAGGTTAATTTTTTATAAGAAAGTGTCCATCATAAATTGCTCTACTAAATCCAAGAGCCATTAAAGCCTATTTTTTTTCTTCGAAATTTAAAAGTTGAAGGCGCTTGAAAAAACAAGTAAGTTTTTTTTTCAGTTTTCTTGCGTTCATTACTCTTTTCCAACTGTTAGTTGGTTGTTTATTTTTGAAGCTGAAAAATGCGATCAAGGCCAAATCAACAAAAGTTACAGAAAAGACTAATACGAATTTTGTTGATCAACAGTCCAACATGGTTCATTTTTTAAATGTGTTTGAAAATGTTGATTTATTTCTTTTTTTCAAATAGTTTAGATACAAGTCTTCTAACAAATCTCGTCGGCAGATCTAATTGTGACAGTGCGTGTATGGGGGAGTAGGATGAAAATGAGCAAAGATTGGTCAGAAGCTAAAGTTTTTCTTGAGTTGTAAAAAGTCATGTTTCCCTGTTTTTTAGCGGGCTGAAAAGTTCTAAGCATGTTTTGCATTCCTTGTTATCTGTTAAGAATGATTGAGACTTTGCAATTGAGTATTTTCTAAAGGCCAACATCCTGAAGATGTGAAACTTGGTTTTAGTTTCTCGTTTTTTCTTTATGGTCATAAAATATTAAGAGTAATGAACGTAGTGGGTACTCTTATATAGGTTTAGTTGATTTTTGTTTGTTTTTTTTTATGAAAAAGTTCTAAAACTTGTTCACGCTCAGTTTTGATTTTTGGACCTTTGACTTGTGATTTTTTTTTGTTCAGTGCGTTTCCATTGTTGGAAGGAAGGAAGGCAAACTCCACTATCGAACAGCAAAAGTGTAAAGATCAGGAAAACGTGATCGGCTTCTGATTTCGAAAATGGAAATTAATTATCAGATTTCACAGCGAAATAAAAGTTTTACATATTGATCCAATTTTCTCGAATTGGGTTAATTTTATTTAAAATGTGCCCATCATGAAGTGTTCAACAAAATCTAAGAGCTTTAAAGCCATTGAAGTATATTTTTTTCGTCGAATTTCAAAAGTTGAAAACTCCTGAAAAAACAAGTCAGTTTTTTTTCAGTTTCCTTGCCTTCATTACTCTTTTCAACTGTTACTTGGCTATGTTTATTTTTGAAGCTGAAAAATGCAATCAAGACTAATACGAATTTTGTTGATCAACGATACAACATAGTTGATTTTTAAAATCTGTTTTAAAATGTTGATTTATTTTTTTTTTCAAGTAGTGTAGATACAAGTCTTCTACAAAGGAGTCTTGTATCAACATAATTGCCCCGTACCATACGCCTCCGGCAGATCTAATTGTGACAGGGCGTGTATGGGGGATTAAAATGAGCAAGGATTGGTCAGAAGCGAAACTTTTTCTTGTGTTGTACAAAGTCAAGTTTCCTTGTTTTTTAGCGGGCTGAAAAGTTTAAGCATGTTTTGCATTAATTGTTATCTGTTAAGAATGATTGACAATTTGCTCAATTGCAAATGTGTATTTTCTAAAGGCCAACATCCTGTAGATGTGAAACTTGTTTTTAGTTTCTGGTTTCTTTATCATGCTCATAAAATCTTAAGAGTAATGAACGTAATGGGTACTTTTAAAAAGTTTTTGTTGATTTTAGTTTTTTTTTTCTGGAAAAAGTCTTAAATTTTGTTCACGCTCTGTTTAGATTTTTCGCGGTTTGGCTTGTGATTTCTTTTTATGTTCAGTGCATTTCCATTGTTAAAAGCAGGGCAAACTCCACAA